AATCGAATTTTAAACGTCTTTCTTTTTTATGATTTGATTTCTCAAGAATTATTTGATCGATTTCTTTTAAATTTTGTAATTTGCTCTATAAAATTTCATTCTTTAAAGTTCTATAAAAATTTGTATACATTGTACTTCGAAATGTTTTGACTATTGTTAAACAAAATAATAAAAATAATAAATAATTATTATAAATTATTTTTTTGGGGGATTATTTTTGGAAAAACAAATTTCATAATTGTGCTCAAAATTTTTTCAATTTGCTTAAAAAAATTGTCTAGATATGACGATATACGATTACTGTATTCATGCCAAAAAATACCCTGTAATATAAGTAAAATTGACATTAAGAGGTATATTACAGATCTTTTGACCAAAATATTGGGACCATATTTCTGTGATTATGGCTAACCTCTGTATTTTGGAGGGCCGGAAATCATAATGCGTCTAAAGAAAAGTATGTTTTTTTTCAGAGAAAGAAAGTACGTTTTTGAGTCGGGTTTCGTAACTTGAAATATCGTTTGCACTAATTAATTAGCAAATTTGTGTTCACCCCTCTTCGGAAGATTTAGACAGAATCCTATAAGGGGCCGTTCAAAAAGTACGTACACAAAAATGGAAAAATTTTAACCCCCTCCCCCCCTTCGTACATTACTGTACATAAGGTCTTACTCCCCCCCCTTAGAATACGTACATTTTATTAGTCTACCCCCCTTTCTCATAAAAATTAAAATAATTATGTTTTAAACAAAATTAAATATTTATTTAAAATAATTCATTCATTTAAAAGATTTAAACAATGGCACCCAACTTTATCTTTGAATCAATAAGTAAAACAATCTTATCTGATCAACATAATAATTTCCTACAATCAATACAATTAATCTACAGTATTTTCCCAAGGACATTCCAAATGCTTCTCGAGAGATACCAATTCAGCGTTACTCTTGTCTGCGACTGATGAAAAATTTAGATTATCTTCATAAACGAGATCATCTTCGTTTTCCTGGTTTTGGAGGATAACCAAAAGTACTAGTTTTTGAGAACTGATTTACTCATTCTAACAAGTGGACGCCGTGTGAAAAAAAAAAAGAACAAACATATGTATAATACATGTGTAGGAAAAAGTCAAATTTAAATTTGGTGTATGCTTATAATGTACGTACTTTGTATAATACCTCTCCCCTCCCCATCGTACAAAATAGCAAATCCCCTCCCCCTCCTTCAGGTACATACTTTACATACTTTTTACATACTTTATATGTACATACTTTTTGAACGGCCCTTAAGTCAAAATCCGATCATTAGATTAAGCGTTATTAGGGTGTTTCGTTTATTTTTGTGCACTACCTTATACTAGAATTTAGACGCTCTTATTCCGTAGATAAATTTGTCCACCCTTTCTGTAATATTTTTAAAATGTTCTTTTTTTTTAAATTTTTAATTAAGTTGCTAAGATTTGACAACTATTTTTCGTACCATCCCATACGATTTTATTTCTGGTACCTAGCTGACAAAAGTCCTTATGTATTTAAAGTTAATATCTGAGGTAGTTCGCGAAAAACGCAATATTTTGTGCATAAATTATTGTTTTTTATTTAATGGTGGCCGTACACGTTTAAAATGTGATTATCAATCTAAGCTCCCAAATAATTGTTTTTATAAATTTTTGCACTGTTGTTATTTTGGTACAGAATTTTCAGCTAAACATAATCGAAGGATATGCCCACCTTAAACTGGTATACGTCTATTAGATATGTATATTAATGTTGAAAACTTTCTGGGCCATTTAATGCTTTAAAAACTTTCTGGGCCATTTAATGCTATAACTTCTGAAAGGACATCTTTTTTATGTGGGGGCCTAAATGTTTGAAATGCTTTTGGATAATTTATGTGTTTTCTAGTTAAATATAAAATAATAAACACATCTATACGAAGGCAATTGAAATTGGACGAAAGGGCAATTATCTGTAAAGTAATATGAAATGTATTGTGAATCTTCATAGAGTCCTTCAAAATAATTCGCAAGTGTTCGTGTCAGTTAATGAAGTTAGGGAGCATTTCAAGTATTACGAAACAAGGGAAGACGAATGTACAGGTTATGACATAATTTATGAGCCATTCAAGATTTGTTAGCGATTAACAATGCAAATTTCAGTCTAGATTAAACAAAGGATTCAAACGTCTGTTGTAATCAAAGGGCAAATTAAAAGAGAAATAGAATTTGTGTGGCAGAGAAATCATAGGAAGTATTTTACAGTCGGTATATTCAGGATTATTTCATTCCTAGAAATATTTCAGCTTTATTTGGGATGATTAACCGTGATTTTAAATGGGTGATGGGCAATAGTTCGATAATTAAAAAAATGTATGTATTAAAACAATGTATAGCATAAATAAGACCGTTTTTTCTTAAACCCCCCCCCCCTCTAATTGAGCGATTTTCTCGGGCTTTCATAAATTAAGGGGCTAATGCAGTAAAAGTCCGTTTCAACGACAACCCATAGTAGCAGATGGAATTATCGTAATAGAGAGTTCGTCGTTATAAGCAAACACATACATTTAAGATAAATAAGTAATAAAGAAAACTGTAGTGTTAAGTTGGAATTAGGATAAACTCCTCTCGCCACAAAGTCTAGGGCCGTCTGCTGCTGTAGAAAACAAGAAATGGCGCATTTCAAAGAAGGAAGCTTCTTTCTCCCCCGATTCCCTTTCTATCGTCAACATGAGCCAAAACCTGTCTTAAATGATACCTGACTCCTACCTACAACACCCCTACCTGAAATGATTAAACCTGGTAACCACAGTCACCGCTACTGCTCCAGACGAATGACGAGGGGAGTTCTTTCCATAGACAGAATATAATTGGCCCACAAAAGACACATCCATTTGAAGTGTGATTCAAAATTCCTGAAAATAAATAACGATTTTTTTCATTTGCGATTAAGAAGATGACTTGGTCCGTGGTCACTAACACAAGTTTGCTTTCTTAGCTCAACGGATTAAGATTATAAGACAAAAATAAGGTGTTTTCAATTTTTTTTTCACTTTTTAATTCCAAGAGCTTTTATTTTGAAATCAGTCAGTCCTCTGCTGTATCTTTGATACACAATGTGTTAAGAATGAAATGCGATTGTTTAAATCATTTGTTTTAAGTAGGCAGAAAAAAATCGACTCAAAACTACCTAGAAATGAATGTCTGAACGTATCGATTACCCTTCTAATTTATTACAGATAATAAGTAAAAGTAATCTTATATTACTATATAAGATATGATTACCAGAGAAAATGATTACTTGAAATCGCAATAAAATTGTCGCACGTAGTCAGGATTACAAGTACTTATGATAAACAGATATTCATTAACTAGAAATAAGACATAAATTTTTAATAATTAAAAGTAATTAAACTTAAAATATAATATATAATATATAAATATGTTTTTGCAGAACAGTACTTCATCAGGGGACACACTGTCTGCAACCACACAGGAGCCTTTCTGTTGTTAGTATACTGTTCTGCAAACACAGATTCATTTATCATATTTTATGTTTAATTATTTTTAATTATTAAGAATTTATGTCTTATTTCTAGTTTATATTATACAAATTTAGTTTCAGCTGCCTTGTGCGCTTTTCCAATTTGAATTAATAAAGTAAAGTTTCAGTGTGTTTATTTTCCTCTTAGTTATCATTATTGACCTAGTAAATTGTATTGATTTTGTGATTGGATAACAGATATTTATCTAACTATTAAAATTAAGTGAAAAAATAAATGAGAGGATCAGTGCTTCGATGAATAAATAAATCAGCAGGTCAACAAATCCGCAAATCAATAAATCAGCTATTTAATAAATCAACGAATGAGCGAAACAATGAATCAGTTAATCAATGAATGAGTGAAATAATGAATCAGTGAATCAATGAATATTAACGAATCCACGAATCAGGTATTTAAGGAGTCAATAAATCATAACATTAACGAAAAAAAGTAAATGAAAGAACTTAAAGTTATGAAATAATCGTCTGGCATTGATTCTCTGAATCATCAATTCCTTTTTCCGTTTATTTTAGGATTTAATGATTTCTTGAATTTTTTTTTTTGTGATTTTGAATCGCTCATTCATGATTTGCCAACTTATTGTTTTTCTGTTCTTTGATAAGATCATTAAGTTGTTATAGAATCAAAAGAACAAATGAGTTATAATTGTATCTAAGTGAATCATATCCAAATAATTAATCAATCAATTAACTAATAAACCAGCATATCTTCCTTTATTCGGAGATTTATTAATTCAATGATTCCTTTATTTACTCGCACACTGATTCGCTAATTTATTGATTCTCTATTCTTTGGTCTCCTGACACGCTTATTCTCTTTTTCTCCTTAGTTAACCTACTAATTTACTGAATGATTGATTCATTCCTTCGATACGTTATTAATTTTTCATCCGTTGATTCACTAACTTTATTTATTAATTGACAATTTTACAAAGTTTCCATAATTTTAATTTTTTAGAATTCAATTTTGATTTCTTTTCATTTTTTAATTTAAATTGTTTACTTCATTTATTGGAAAAAATTTACTAAAAATGTCATTATATTTACTCTACATTTGAACTAAATTCTTTTATTTTTATTAAAAAAAATAAATTTAAAATTTATTATTCTCAATAAAAATGCAAAAAAATAATTCATAGATTGAATAATTAGACCTCAGTGCAGAATATCTGAGCACATCTACACTGATTTTCTTTAAATATAAATTTTAATTTCATTTGTAAAAGAAGTTTGATGAAGATTAAAAAAAATGGAAACAAAAACAGATTTTAGTTATTTGATATATATATATAAATTTTATTCTAATTTGATTTTTTTTTAAATAGTAAATTATGTTAACTAGTTGAATAATGAACTACGTTAACCCATGCCTTAGAACTTTTATTATAATATTAATGTTTTTATTATTATTTTAATCAGTAAAATGCAGCTTTTTGAATTTCCAGATAATGTCTGATACGGAATCTGAAGCGGAAGACTCTGAAGTTTTTGATTTGGAAGATTCCGAATCGGCTCTATTATTTTCAAATAAAAGGCCTAGTCCAGCAATTGTTTACATCTTTTCAATATATATTACGGACAATCTTCGTCAATATTTTGCATTCGCATTACTAATAGGCAATTTTATAGTTCTGAATCTTGGAGTGACTTTCATGTTGCTCAGCTGGTATGTTAGCCATTCTTTATCTGGGCAAATAATTTTCATAAGTGGTTATTACAGTGCTCAAGCAGTACCAGCCATGCTCATTTTGTCAGGATTCAGCATGATAGTTGCAAGTTTACTTGGTTTGAAATCAGCTATAGATGGACGTCATATAGATGACCAGGAATCAGCAAAGTCAGCATCTTTGTTTTTCTTAATATATTGGAGTGCGGGATTAATTATTGTAGGTATTATTTTCCTGTCAGCTATTGTATGCTTTTCTCAAATTAGATTGCTTCCCGATGCTATTAGCCAGGGTTTACGAGATGGCATGGAAAAGTATCCGAAAAATCCTAAAGTGAAGATTTCCATGGATTATTTGCAAATGTCTTATCAATGCTGTGGCGAATCAGGTTACAAAGACTGGTATAATATCTCCTGGGTTGATTTTAAATATCTGGATATTTCTTCTGATCCAAACATGCCACGGTATGAATAAGCACATCTTGAATTTTTAAATTTTTTTCAGTTCAGTTCCACATTAAGCTTTAACCGTATCCTCTAGTTCCTTCAAAGTGAATGTTAATTGATGGATCATAAATAACATTTTCGTATAAACATCACTACACGATCAAACATCATAATACGTATAAACATCAATTCGTCTTGAGCGCTGTTCACAATGTTAAGAGATCGCTATACCTCGGACGAAATCGTTCATGACAAATTCTATTTTCTTCTCCCTAAATTCAAAATTTAAAGTATAGGGAAAAGCGAGTTCATTTGCTATTTAGAAATAAAGGGAAAAAAACGTTACACGGTTTTCTTTCTGTTTATCTTTACTCACCTTTCACTATACTTTAAATTTTAATTTATCAAAGGAGACGAAAAAGAAATTGTCATGATGCATTTTACCCCTGGGATAGTATCCTCTTAACGTGTACACTACTAGTGATCGCTCAATAATTTTAAATCGGTGAATTTTATGTAGAGGAGTATAATAATTTATAACAATGGAGCTTTTAGGGTGATAATAATTGATCCATATGAGATAAAAAATAAAATTTTCAAAAACTACCTAGTTTAACCATTTTGTGCAGATATTTACTGCCGATATTAGGATTTAGCTTATGACAAGTTTGATTTGCTTGCTATTACTGGCTATATAATGAATTGGATACCCGCAAGTGACGTAGCAGTGGTATCTCGATCATAATTGGTTGTTGAAACGTAGCATTTGTTTACTTTAGCAACTGTTCTTTTCATTCTATTTCGAGTAAGCCAAGCCCGTAAAATATCAATTTTCTTAAGTGACACATTCTAAATTCTTTCCCAAAGATTTAATTCTTTCACTATATATTTACGCACAGACTTAACACAAAGACAGGCACGAAGTCATGTGGAACATAAACAAACTAATTATGCATCGAAGATGCCAGGTACACAAAGCGAAAATATATCACAGTTACGATAAAATACATTAACAAATAATGAATTGAAGTTAAATAAAAGAAGTAGACGAGAAAGAATTATATTTCAACTAATTCGATATGTGATACTGCTCAGTATTTAATTAACTTATCGTTAATTAACATTCTAACTTATGTAGAGAAACTTACCTGAACGTTAATACGCTATTTTGTTGATAAAAATCAGCTGGCACTGACGTCATAGGTCACATGTGTGAGCATGGGAGATCTTCTACTTGAAGTGCAAGTACCTAATTGCCAAATTCAACAAAAATCATCGAAGTTTCGAGACATCGATGCTTCTGATGACCTCCTGAAAGGTAATTTTGAATTTACCGACTGTTTTGGAAAACTTTGTCTTTATTGATTCACAAGAATGACAAGGTTTGAGATTAGGAAAATACGGTGGAATCGACAATCGATATGCTCTCAGAAATGCTGCATTTTGAAATTTTCACTAAAAATGAGCGAAAATAATTGGTGATCGAATTGAGCTGCAGGTGGCGCTTTTTGTCTTGATTCTTAAACTGATTAAACTTTTTCAACTTCGAATACTATATGGATCTTAAAACAGCATTAAGCATACTGCTTAAAGTAAACTTCGTGGAAATTTTAAAATATGCTTTTGATAATCTAAATACGAAAAGTATTATGAGCGGGGAAAGCATAGCAATGTTATAGTGGTAGTATGGGATATCTTCTTTGAAACAAAACTTTCATAATCAGCTGCATTGTTAATAATAATTATAAGTTGGATTATTTACGAGACATTTGAAGAACCATCTTAAAAATACGCATGTTTTGTTTGCTTTTATAATTTGTAGATTTTATTTTAGCCTTTTTTCCTTAGCATGATGAAAGGGTTGAAATATTATGGAAAAGATGTGCCATTTAGTTGCTGCAAGAAAGCCATAACTCGACCATGTGTTGATACAAGAATAGAAGACAAAAGATACAACTCTAAATACCGCTTTCCAACGGACTTGACAGTAAACGCAATAGGATGCAGTGAAATTGTTTCTAAAGTACTGGCAAATATGATGAAAGGAGTTGGAATTTTTGTCTTCTTATGTATTTTTATTTGGGTAAGATTACCCAATAAATTATATTTAATATATACTTTTTCATTAATTTATCTTGGCATTTTCTTAAAGCATACAAGGATTAAAGTCGAGAGTAAAAAAATCTTTAACGAAATTTGTTTTATTTATTTTTTAAAAAATGTTTTTCACCTTTTGCTCGATGGTAAAAACTACATGTTTTGTTTTTTGTACTGCCTCCATAACGTAAAAAACCCCTATTCCCTATTACCGAAAAACAGAATTTTGCAGGAAGATATTTTTAAAATCGAATATGACCTTAAATTGGAATTAACGCCAGTATAAAATTCAACATAACTCATTGTTGAGATTTTAGATGCAATAAAAAGGTGTATTTCTTAAGACAGATTCAAAAACGCTTCAAAAAAGAATTTAGAGAAAATAGGTGGAGTTACTTACACTTTGTTCAGACATATTAGATACGTCTGTATTATTTAAACATACAAAACACTTAGAAACATTGACTTTATTTATCTCATCAATTTTTAGGATTGAATAGTTCCTCGAACTATTTACGCCATTGGTATCGAATTGCTATTCTTCCTTCTTTATGTTCTCCACCTTTTGATCGACAAATACTTGTTCTAGACGTGAATTCTGATCTCACTTCTTCGATTCCTTTAAAAAATCCTCTGGTGTCATGTCTTTTATGTACCTTCCATCTCTTCGTATTATTTTTTTGTTGTTGAAAGAGTTATTTAGTTTCGTTTCTTTTCTTCTGGTAGAAATCCGCCTAATGCTTTGTCTTCCTCGGAGGCATCTTCACTCTAGCCTTATTTATTTTCTGTATAACGATCTCGCAGCCTTCGTCAAACCACTCTGATTTTTTTATTATCGTTTTGTTTTTCTCCCTGTGTCTCTTCTACTGTATTTCCAATCACCTTCTGCATTTTCCCGACACCAATACCCGATGCTTCCAGTTCTCAAATTCTTATTACTTAATTCGATTCTTCCATAGATTGCAAGTCTTCGTCTAGATTTTATTTTGGTCACAAAATGATCGAAGTCAACATGCGCTATGCTACTTGATCTTATATCAGGTATATCCGGCCTTTGTTTAAAATCTTTTAAAACGCGATCTATTTAGTTTCCCGCTTATCTATTAGATGATTTTCATGTTGTCTTATGTATTCTTTTATGAGGAAAAATGTGATACTTATTGTCATATTGTTGCCGTTCGCAAAGTCAAGAAGTTTTTTTGCCATTATAGTTTGACTCCTTATGTCGGCTTTCCTTTGGTTTAAAATAGTCCCTGCTTCCAATTTCGGTATTAAAATATCTGATGATTATAATAAATCTTGGAGTTTTGTTCTTGGTTATCTCAAGCTATTTTAAGAAAATTGTTCTTCTCTGCATTTCTCTGTTGGAGCAAAAGCACAAATGAAAGGGGTATTAAATTTCTCGTCTTTTATTCTGAAGAAGAAAATTCTTTTTGGTGATAGATATTGCTCTTTTATTGTTGCAATTGGCATTGCAACTCGAGAAGTAGAATACGTGATAAGGCCCAACCATGTGATTTAAATCAGACTTAATTTGATATTTGTAAGCAACGCCACGCATGTTTGCTGAACTTGATTGACTTCTGAATCGACGAATGCCACGATTTACTAATGATGACGTAGCTTTCTGGTATCTAATTAAAATGCAACGTATTTTATCACTAATTCAAATATGGATTAATTTACGACATAAGCAGACTAACAGACGCAAAATTTAGAAGAGAAACACAATAAAGAAATGTGAAATTTTATAGAAATATGTTTGCAAGTGGACTAAAAAGAAGAAAATTTTTTTCTTTTTTGTTTGATTTAAAACTAAAAATATAGGGAAGCATTACTTTCATAATAAACTTATGCCAGCACTGAAAATCAATCGCTTCTTTCGAAAGTGATGCGTCCAGCGTTTTAGTTCAGAAAAAATTAAAATTATTATATTTTTCTGGCTACTAGATAAATGAATGTTTTTATATTTTCATTTTATTTTATTTTAAGGTATTAAATAGTAAGTAACATATAAATCAAATTAAAAAAATGAAACATACAGTAACTAAATTTGCCCTTTTGTTGTGTGATAATATAATATTGCTTTTTTAACTGTACCGTTTTTCTCAATAATATTTGTTAAATAAAAATGCGTTAAAATATTTGCATCTACTTTGTTCGTGAAATTTCTGCGATGTTATCTCAACTGACGAAGGAGGAGGGTCAATTGTTTGCTTTTAAAAATTTGCAATAACAGTTTTTTTCCCTATTCTTTTAGTATAAATGATAAATATCACCTCGATCAATTAAATCGAACTGGAGGTTTTGAAAAGTATTCTTTACATCGAGATTGTAATTTTTACGAAATTACACCTGCATTTTGTGAATTTTACGTACGCACCTTTTTATTTAAAAAATAATAAATTTTTTGATGTATTTTAAGAATTTTATATTTCAATTCTTCTTCTTTTACGTTATCTTTTACGTTATCTTTTATTACAGCTTATAATGGTTATTATTACAAGGTACTTGCATACGTCAACACAGCAGATTCAAAAGGGCAATACCCCTGTTGGCTATTTATTTCCTTTCTCGAAAGCAAAGAGCGAAGCAGTTTCAAGTGAAGAAGAAGGGTTTGATAAAGATGAAGAAAATGGCTTCGATTCCGATTAATTATTACGAAGAAGTTTTCGATTTTAATATGCATTATCAGAATAAAATTTCAACGCACTCCTCGAGTCTGGAAATATTAACATTATATATGTTACCGGCAAAGTATGAATCGCCGGCATTCTACTGAATGCTTAGGCAATGTATATAATGCCGGATGTTTTTAGACAAGGTATGATATATGAGAAGTATTGCATACTTTCCCTATGCATTGTATATAATACCTAGGCATTCTATAGAATGACAAATGCTATTTAGGCAAAGTATGAAAAAAACGTCTTGATGAGGTTTTTATGTAAATGGTGTGCATTTCTCAAAAACAAAAATGTTATTCTGAAAAAATAATGAGAGTGTCATTAAAATTTTTTTATTCAAAGTCCGTAAAGAAAAATGAAAGCTGTACAAAACATAATTTATGCCTTTCTAATTAAGGGAAACAAAATTTTCATACAAAAAAATAAGAAATTAACCTACTTGTTGCAACATGACAGGATTGAATGACATTTTGAATTACATTACGAAACGAATCGGAGATGCATTTAATACTTTGCCGATTTCTCATTTGGCATTCTATAGAATGCCTAGGAAATGTGTGAAATATAAATCGTAGTGGTAGATGGATCA